ATTATTTAATATTTATTTTTCAGTTTTCGGTGGGCACAACATCTTTATTTTATGTGGCGCTGAGGATCCAACCCAGCGCCCCGCGCAGGCCAGGGGAGCGTTACCGCTTGAGCCACATCCCCAGTCCCACTTTTCTGTTTTAAAGTGATGTGGCTCGGTTTTAACCAGGACTTTTGCAGCCTCCAGACTTACCACGGTGAGCTGTGTCCCCCGGGGCGGGCCGTGGAGGCCGCCGGGCGCCGGGCCGGGCGCGCGCCCTGGGGACCTGGTGTCATGAGCCTCCGGGCCGCAGGCGGCAGCAGCGCGCGGCGGGGCCGGACACAATGTAGCGGCCGAGGCGCGACGTGTTACAATGTAGCGGCGGCGGCGGCGGCGGAGTTCTGGTGAGCGCCGAGCGGCCTCCGGGCGGCGGGCCCGGCCCGCGGGCGGGGAGCGGGAGCGCTGGGCCTCGGCGCGCACGGCCCGCCCGGCAGGGCCTCCTGAAGCCCGGCTGCGGACGCGGACGCCGGAGCGCAGAGCCGGCGGGAGGCCCCCGCGCGCCCGAGGCAGGGTTCGGACTCGCGGCCCCAGCTGCCCACCCCCTGGTCCTCTCCCGGGAGCGCCAGGCACTTCCATCTGGCAGAGTTTAGGACCTAGACGGAGGGACCTTTCCACCCAGTTAACTGTCACCRTCAGTATGGGATCCGGGAGGCCCAAAGACCCGCATCACTGCGCCTTCCTCAGCGATGCTGGGTTGCTCTGAGCCTCGGGTTTCCCCTCTATGAAATGGTGGGCGTGGTGGCAGACTGATCCTCACCAGGACCTGAGCATCCCCAGGGTGCATTCGGGTGGTGGGTGAAGGTGGAGATACGGGTTGGGGGAGGTTTGTCTCTGCAGCTAGCCTCATTGGTGGGTCGTCCTTAAAGGAATGGTAACCCTGTCCCTGGGCACACCGGGGTCCCGGCAGGCCTTGTTTAAGGTACGGATGAAGCGCACTTTGTCCCCCTCCAGGGTGAACTCTCAGGACCTCCAGATGACAGCTGGAATGGTAGCCAGGTGGGCAGGACATGGGGGGTCTGATGCATGGATCCTGAAGATATCCTCAGCTTCAGCTCAGTGTCCCTCTGCCCTGGGGCTCCTCTGGCTACACTCTGGCGTTTCTTTGATTGCTATGTTGGCAGTCACCTCCACGACAAGAGGGGAGATCTCTCGAGGGCAGAGGATAGAGAGTGGGGTTCTTTCCTCTCTCCCCTTTCTTGCCTGTTCCTTTCTAAGTTCAAGCCAGAATAATGGGTGCAGAGCTCTGTGGGGTGACTTTGAAGGGAATGGTTTGCTGGCTCTCTACTAAAGTCAGCAGCTGTACTCTTGCAGCCATGTGCTGGGACATCATCTATCTGCCCTCAGCAGACAGGGAAACTTGATTCCCTAACCAGTCAGGAGAGAAGCTAGCACTGAGAGGTCAAATGACACCACTGCTTCATCCACCACTGCCTCGGTGCCAGGCCTGGGGGTGACAATGCCACTCAGGAGTTGAATAAAAGATGCTGTTTCCTCTGGAGATTGCAGCCCCAAGACAGTTGCTGGGAAGTGTAAAGATATTGAGTCTCAGGCTAAGGTTTGCAGGGAGAGCTCCTGGGGGTGGCTTCCAAGCCCTCTACTCCAATTCCTTTCTATTGGGCTCATTGTCATGTGATAACAGTGATGGTTTTCTCAGCAGCAACTCTGGGCTGCTGACTTTCATGTCTATATGAACATTTAACCTCTCATCCACTTACGGAGGCAGTGTTCTCCCTGACTGTAGGCAATGTGGTCCTGTAGCTCATCACTAGGAAAGCCAGAATTTAAATCAGAGTTGTCATCTCAACAATAATGGTAACAATGATAATAACAAGTTGTAGCTGGTACTTATCATGGGCTTACTATGTGCTGGCCAGYACTTTCAGAACTTTGTATTAACCAATATTTACAATAGGCCCATATGGTACTATCATATCTTCATGTGAGAGATGAGAAGTTGGAAGTAGAGAAATGTGTAGGCTTTTACCCAAGTCATGTAGTGGGGAACTGGCAGAACTGGGGTTTAAATTGGGCTTGCTCATCTTAACACCAAGAGGCAACTAGGGTGAAGAATCAGGTTTTGTTTGGTCTGCAAAAGACAGAACTCTATCCCCAATAACAGTGGTGTGAATGGAAGTTTGTTTCTGTCTCACTTGAAAGAAACTTTGCAGTGAGTGCTCAGGGCTCAGATGGCGTCTTCTGCAATCTTGTCATTTGGCCATCTGCATTGTGGCTTCTATGTCCCTGCCCAAGGTAGTTGCTCCAGCTCTACTCAGTACAACTTCACCCCAGACAGCAAAAGGGAGGAAGGAAGGACTGCAGAGGACCAGCCCTCCCTTTAAGAATAATTCCCAGAAGTCTTGTGTGATCTTTTTGTTCATTTCCTATTGGTCAGAACAGTCACATTACCATGTCTAGCTGCAGGAGAGACTGGGAAATCATGTGACAAGCCAAAAAAACGAGGACTCCCTACTCAAGATGAAGGCGTCAGTGAATATTGGGAGTGCATAATCTCTCCYGCTATTCTCTGGGCACTTGGGAGGTGGTTATCAGATGGCTGCCTCTGACTCTGGTGGCCAGTGTGAGCCATCCATAGTCACCAGGTGATAGTGAGAGGCCAGGCTTGAGCCACAGCACCTTCATCCTTTTCTGTACCTTCCAGTTTTGACCCAGGAGCTGCCTGTCAACAGGTGCTGGTTCCTGCCAGACTAGAACTCTGGCTGCCCAACCCATACTCCACGTCAGAGGCATAACAAGCAGGGCAGGATCCACAGGTGGTGTGGAGCTCCTGACTGCAGTGTAAGGACAGCTTGGGGCTGGGGTGGGGCTGTTTAGCTGCCAGTGAGGTGACACTGGGACCCAGGGCAGGGCCTTTCCCTCTGGACTCAGTTCTCTTCCATTT